TCCCACTGGCAGTTAAAAGAAAAAACAGCTGCAAGCTCACATTACTCCAAGAAGCACAAAACCGAAGACACAAGCCTGAAGATGACGAATGAGATTTCGTCGAAACATTGCCAAAATACTTCCAATTTTACGCGGGAGAAAACCCCAATAACCAAAAATCCACATACATATATACATGTGTGTGTGTGTCTCTCTCTCTCTCTATATATATATATATTTGTTTTCATATACATATATATATATATATATATATTTAATAGTGTAACAACCCCATAATCCATTACCCGGTGCAGTCTGGGGCAACTGAAAGGAGCTTGAGTGTTTTACTGGCCAGATGCCTTTCCTGTCTCCAGTGCGGAGTTTTTGTTCAGCAAATAGATTCGCAGGGTGTCCAAGAGAGAGAAATATCTGCCTCTACCTAAGATCGAACTCACAACCTCCTGATTGTGAGGCGAGAGCTCCACCTCTAGGTCATGGCACCACGTCGTCCATACCTACACCTGACTCCTTTATTCGACACACACACACACACACACACACACACACACACACACACGTAAATAAAACGAATAAAGGACTCATTCCAAGCGCCGAGGGAGGCCTCGCCCAGCGAGCGCCCTGACAACCGACCTCCCCACTCAAGAGAGCGTGGCAGCCCTTCGGGTCCTTTCACACGTGCAGGCGGACACGCATCTGTCGGGGCCGTGCGAATGGGGTCAGTCCGGGGCTGCGAGCGAGGGGAGGGGAGAAAGGGAGCCCCCGCGGGCTGACGAGGAGGAGGAGGAAGAGGCCCGGCTCGGTTGCCCTGGAGAAGCGGCTGGAAGGGCGGCCGCCATCTTGACGGCCGGGCCCGCCGCCGCCACCGCCGCAGCCCGACTTACACTCGCCGCCGCGCAGCGCCGTTCCGCCTGCGTGCGTCCCGCCGCTGTGACGTCATCTCGCCCCGCCGGTAGCCCGGTGCCGCGACGAAAAGAAAAAAAAGACCTCTCGGAAGAGGTGGTAGCCCGGCTTGGGTTAAAAAAAATAAAAATAAACAAGCGGGAGCCACCGAGCATGCGCGATTGTCTTCCGCGCGTGCTCGGCGACGCTTAACGAAGCCGGCGGCCCTCCTGAGGGCTTGCCCTCCCTGGCGACGAGCCGCGGCTGCGCATGCGCTGCCTCATCCCGAGGATGCTCAGTCGCAGAGCCTGAAGCCGCCGCTGCCCTTAGTTTTGCCCGCTCGGGGAAGGGATAAGACAGGGGCGGGGTCAGTGAGATGTCGGTCTTTCTTTCCCAAGAGCTTTGGACTTCATTTCCCATCAGCCCCAATCAGCATAGTCAATAGCTGGGGATTATGGGGGCTGTAGTCCAAAATTTCCACTGGACCCAATTTCTCTTCCCCCCCCCCCTTAAGTCATTCCTGCTTGATGAGTTTGGAAGGAAATTAAAAATTCCTCCCAAAGGATGCTGCACTGGGCTGGAGACAGAAAGTTTCTTAAACAACTTTTAAGATGGGTGGACTTCAACTCCCAGAATTCCCCATCCAGCACACAGCGACAGGAATTCTGGGAGTCGGTTTGCACAGTGGCCAAGGCTGAAGAAAAAAAAACAACACAAAAAAACACACTGATTTAGGCTGAAATCAAATGCAGTATAATTGGGCTGGACCTGCATCTGGAAATCTGCCCGTTGCCAAAAGGAGGAGCAGACCACCCCCCCTCCCTCAGTGGTGCAGGGGTGTCCCAGGAGGGACCCCAAGAAAACCTACCCACCCGCCGGAATGCAGGGCACTTGGTGGTGGGGGGGTTTCCCCCGTTTGAGGGTGTGCGTGTCTTGCAATCTCCCCCCCCCCTTTTTTTTTTTGCAATGGGCAGGTTCCACCCGGGCTTTTTCCTCCAGGGACCCCACCCCACCCACCTGGCGGGATGCAGCTCACCCAGGGCGATGGGGAAGGCTGTGTGTGGAAGAGAAGCTGCCAAGGCTCCTGCACCCCCTACTTGGGGGGTGGGGGCGGAGGTGGGGGTCTCATTCTACTTCTTGCAGTCTCTCCTTTTTGCAGCTGCAATTCCACCCGGAGTCTGGAACCCACCCACCCACCCATCGGGATGTGGGCCACTCCAGGAACTGGGGAGGAGGCGTTTTTCCAAGGCTCCTGCACCCCCTCGGCGTTAAGGGGTGGTGGGATGGGGTCTGATCCTCCTTCTCCTTGCAATCACCCCCCCCTTTTTTTTGCAACGGGGCAGGTCCCAACCCGCACTTTCCCTCCGGGGACCCCCTCCCCCTAAGAAAACCCACCCATCCTCAGGGATGCAGAGCACGCAAGGCGATGGACAGCAATAGCAGTAACTGTGAGAGGGATCTTGGAATCTTAGTGGACAAGATGAGCCAGATGTGTGCAGCAGCAGCCGAAAAAGCCAATGCAACCCTGTTGTATTAACAGAGGGATACAATCAAGATCAAGGGAGGTACTAATATCACTCTATAAAGCCTTAGTAAGACCACACCTAGAGTACTGCATCCAGTTTTGGTCACCACATTATAAAAAAAGATGTTGAGATTCTATAAAAAGTGCAGAGAAGAGCAACCAGGATGATTAGGGGACTGGAGACTAAAACGTATGAAGAACGGTTGCAGGAACTGGGCCTGGCTAGTCTAGGGAAGAGAAGGACCAGGGGAGACAGGATAGCGGTCCTCCAATATTTGAGGGGCTGCCACAGAGAGGAGGAAGGAGTCAAGCTGTTTTCCAAGACAAGGAATAATGGATGGAAACTGAAGAAGGAGAGAGATTCAACCTGGAAATAAAGAGAAACTTTTTGACAGTGAGAACCATCAACCCATGGAACAAAAGTTGCCCTCGCAAGTTGTGGGAGCTTCATCACTTGAGACTTTCAAGAGATTGGACTCCCATCTGTCAGAAATGGTGTAGGGTCACCTGCTTGGGCGGGGTTGGACTAGATGACCTATAAGGTCCCTTCCAACTCTGATTATCTGTTATCGGATGGAGGGGGGGAGAAGCTTGCAAGGCCCCTGCCCCCCCCCCCCAGCTACTTGGGGGGCGGCGGAGGGGGCTGCTTTTACTTCTTGCAATCGCCCCCCCCCTCTTTTTTTTTGCAATGGCGCCCCCTCCCCAGTTCCTGGGGTGGCCCCCACTTTGCCTCCCGGGACCCCCCAGCCCCTAAGAAAACCCACCCACCCACCTGCGGGGATGCCGAGCACGCAAGGCGAAGGAGAGGAGGAGGAGGAGGAGGTGGAGAGAGAGAAGCTCGCAAGGCCCCCGCACCCCTTAAGGGACCCTGGGCCAAGCCCCCCCCCCCCGCCACCCCCCCCCCCCCCCGCGCGGTCAGGGCGTTGCAACCGCCGACGCGGCTTCTCGCGCGGAGCCGCTGCAGCTGCCGGCACCGTTTTCGGGGAGGAGACTCGGGGAACGGCCGGCCCGCCTCCCCCTCCTGCCTTCTGCGCTCCGGCCCGCCCGGTTGCAGCCATGGAGCAACCGCTGCTGCTGCTGACGCTGCTGGCCGGCCTGGGCACCGGCTTGGCCGAGCACCGGCCCGACTACGACCGCGAGGCGCTGCTGGGCGGCCAGGTGGGGACCCAGGGACTCCCGGACCCATCCTCCACCGGCTGGGAGGGGGAAAGAGGAGGGGGCGCAAGGAGCCGGGGGGGGGGGGGGGGGGGTTGCAGGGGGGGAGAACCCCCCCCCCCCGGAGGAGGAGGGAGGGGGATTGCTCCGGAAGAGACCCCCCCTTCCCTTTAGGCAGCCCACCTGTAATTGGGGTGGAGGGGGCAGGAGCAACTGCTCTGCAGGTGAAGGCCAGGTGTGACCCCCCTAAGTGCCAAGGGCTGCTTGCTGGCCCTTTACGGGGAAGGGGGGGGAGCAACCAGCTGGTGGCAGGGAGGGGCACAGCTCGGCTTTCCTGCTAAAAAAAAAGCGGGGTGGATGGGCCGAGAGGTGGGGAGAGGGAGAGCGGAAAGAGACGGGGGGGGGGGGGGGGGGGGGGGGGAAGGAAAGAGGAAGAAAGAAAAAAGGAGGAAGAAAGAGAAAAAGAGGGAGGGGACAAAAAGAAGGAAAGAGGAAGAAAGAGATAGGAAAAGGATAAAGAACAAGAGTGGGAGGGAGAGAAAGAGAGAAGGAAAGAAGAAAAAGGAGAAAGAAAGAGAAAAAGAGAAAAAGAGGGAGGGACAAAAAGAAGGAAAGAGGAAGAGATAGCAAAAGGAGAAAGAAAAAGGGAGAGAAATAAATACAGGAGAAATAAAGAGAGAAAGAGAGAGGAAGAAAAAGAGGAAGAAGGAAAGAGAAAAAGAAGAGAGAAAAATAAAAAAGGGAGAGGAAGAAAGAAAAAGGAGAAAAAGAGAGTGAGTGAGTGATATAGATATATCTGTCTCTCTGTCTGTCTGTCTCTATCTATCTATCTTCTTTCTATCTATCTATCTATCTATCTATCTATCTATCTATCTATCTATCTATCTATCTATCTATCTATCTATCTATCTATCTCTACATCACTCTATATCAGGGGTGGGCAAACTACGGCCCGCGGGCCACATCTGGCCCGTTGGTCTTTTTTATGCGGCCCGCCGAAGATTGGTCCGTATGTAACCGCGGCCACTTTATCTATCTATCTATCTATGTTGTGCAAATTTAACTATGACGCCAAACTTGAGTTTTGGAGGGTGTCTCGGAGAAAAAAATAGTTATTTTCCCTACCCTGAGTACGGCAGGCGTCTCTTCCACTTAAAAAACAAAACTCTTTCCTCCCCTCGCTTTGAAAAGGGGAACTGTTAACAAATGCAGTTTTTTATATGTATCGTATCTTATGCTGACCCGACCCGTCCGTCAAATTTTAAAAGTCAATGCGGCCCCCGAGCCAAAAAGTTTGCCCACCCCTGCTCTATATCTATCTATCTATCTATCTATCTATCTATCTATCTATCTATCTATCTCTACATCACTCTATATCTATCTATCTATCTATCTATCTATCTATTTATCTATCTATCTATCTATCTATCTATCTCTACATCACTCTATATCTATCTATCTATCTATCTGTCTGTCTGTCTGTCTGCCTGCCTGCCTGCCTGCCTGCCTGCCTGCCTGCCTGCCTGCAAATTAGGCCTCATTTTAGTGCTCTTTCTCTGTCCTCCCCCCCCCCCCCAAAAAAAAAAAAAAGGATGAAGTGGAGGAATTTTCCAAACTGAGCCCGGAGGAGCAGCAGAAGCGCCTGAAAGTGATCATAAGTAAGATTGACGTGGATCAGGACGGCTTCCTCACGGAAGGTACCTATGATGATGATGATGATGACCCTCCGACTAAGCTCAATCACCGGCCGCTTTCTTGGGCTGGGCTTAGGTGGTCGTGTGAATGAGACCCAGCCACAAAGCGTGATCCGGATTAGTTGGGTGTCCTTGGCTGGTGTCCAGTATTTACATCTGGGTTTTTGGGGGGGAGGGAAACCCCATCCATTGAGTATGGTGGATTCGTTTAACGACGGCCATGCTCACTTCACCACCACCGCAAAAATGGCTTGAAATTGGTGTGTGTGTGTGTGTGACATGATGGACCACATGGCTTATGTTCATAAATCCAGGCTCAATGATGGTTAGTCATCGAGGACTAACTGTAGTAATATAAATCGTCAATTGTTAAGAGCCTGTCCTATTGTTTCATTTATTTTTTATTTTTCTTATATGTATCCATTTCATGTATCCATAACCATGTTTATACTTATACCTGTTATCTTATAATCGCTTGACAAAATAAATAAATTAAATAAAATAAATGAAATAAATAAAATAAATGAAATAAATAAAATAAATAAAATAAATAAAATAAATGAAATAAATGAAATAAAATAAATGAAATAAATGAAATAAATAAAATAAATGAAATAAATGAAATAAATAAAATAAATGAAATAAAT